ACACGGCGGTGCTGGCGTCCGACACGGCCGAGGAGACGGGACCCACACCCTCGGCCACGTCGTGCCCGGCGAAGGTCAGCCCCAGCTCGGGTTTGCAGGCGAAGTGCAGGTACTGCTCGAACTCGGTGCGGTCCACCTCGCCCAGCAGCTCCTCCGGCGGCAGCTGCTCCAGCTGCTCCCGGCACGGCGCTGCCTCGGGCGGCGGCGACGGCTGCCCGACGGCCCCCGGCGGCAACGGGCCGCGCCCCGGGCCCGGCGGCTGGCACGCCTGCCCGTAGTAGGCGTGAAGCGGTGCCGGGCAGCCCAGCAGCCCCTGCAGCCCCTGCAGTGCCGGGCCCGGGCCCAGCGCCTCGCCGGGAGGCAAGTGCCGGCGCAGCGCCGCGCCCGCCGGGCTCTCGCCCGCCGCCGCCGAGTACTCGCCCGCCGCCGCCGGGTGCGGGGCGAAGCCGTAGGGCACCAGAGCGCACTCCTCCTGCAGCCCCGCCGCCAGGAACGGCGCTTCGCTCTCCGCCGTCTCCAGCGGCGACGGGTCCGGCGTCGGCAGGCTGTACCCGTCGAAGCCGGCGCCCAGCGGCGGACAGTCCCGGTAGTGGCCCACGCCCGACACCGCGTAGCCCTGCTCGCCGTAGGGCAGGCTCAGGCCCTCCACGCACATCCTGCCGCCGCTGCCGCCTGCCTCGGTGCTCAGCCCGGGCCCCGCCGGCTCCGCCAGGCCGTGCTGCAGGAAGCCGCTCTCCACCCGCTTCAGGCGCTTCACCTGCTTCCGCCGCCGCGGCCGGTACTTGTAGTTGGGGTGGTCCTGCATGTGCTGCACCCGCAGCCGCTCCGCCTCCTCCACGAACGGGCGCTTCTCCGACAGCGACAGCGCCTTCCACGATTTACCTGCGCACACGACCACCGTCAGACCGGCCGCACACGGGCGGGACTCCACGCCCGGCCCCGACGGCGCCGCCGTCTCGTCCGCAGCCCGGCCCCGAGCCCCGCGCGGCCGCCGGCTTCGAGCTCTCGAACCCGCTCCGAGGGACCCCTGGCATATCGGGAACGCCGCACACCTGGAACCCCGGCACAACGGGAGCCCCCGGATCCCGCCCGCAGTCCGTGCCCCGACACCCACCCGAGTCCCCCATTTCATGAACCCGCCCGCCGCATCCTACTACCCGCCAGAATCCCGAGCCCCCCTCCTCGCCTGCCGGCACCCCTCGCGCTCACCCAGCATCTTGCTGAGCTCGGCGTTGTGCAGGTCCGGGTTCTGCTGCGCCAGCCGCTTGCGCTCGTCCTTCGCCCACACCATGAAGGCGTTCATGGGCCGCCGGATCCGCGCCTCGCTCTTGCTCCGGCTGCCCGACGCCCCTGACGCCGCCGCCTCGCCCTTCGCTTTCGCCTCGCTCAGGGGGCTCAGCGACTCTGCCCACGGGCATGGGCCCACGGCCGGCATCATAACGGGCAACGAGCACCGCCCCTGAGCCTGGTCCTCGCTGCTGGCGTAGCCCGCATCGGGGCTGCTCATGTCTGGCTGCGCCGCCGGGACCGAGAGCTCCGGGGGGGCAGCGGCTGCTCTCGTCGCTCGGACCCCGCTCGCTGCTGGCGGCCGCCGTCGCGCGGCCCTATTTGAGCGGCGACGCGGCCAATGGGGCCTCGGGGGTGGGGACACCGGGCGGTGGCGGTGGCGGCGGCGGCGGCTCCCGCTGCGGCGTGGGGCGGCCCCGGGGCTCCTCCCGGCGCGGCCGGCACCTGAGCAGGTCGAGGTTCTGTGTGCCCAGTACTGCCCCCTCCCCGTGGAACTGTGAGGGGGATCGTCCGTGTGAACCCACAGCGCATTCGTAAACGGCGCTCGGAGCTCATTCCCGCTCTCATGGTGGCCGCAGAGAATGGCCCGCCGCGGTCCTCCGCTACCGGCATGTCTTCAGGTAGATACCCACCGGTTACCTGCCCAACCAGAAAAGAAGAACCCTCACCAGGGGGAACGTGACAATGGTGGAAGATTCAGACTGCTTCCATCAGGAGCCAGATACCCTGTAACTCCCGGAGTGATACAGGCGGCTCCCTTGGTGGGCCGGCTTGGAAAGGGACTGGGGAAGGATAAGAGCAGCCATCACCCTGCAGCCTCTTGCCTTCTGGTGCACCTTAACGAATTTCACCTCGAAAGCTCTAAAAGATGTAGGGTAGGGTACTGTATCCACCGTAAAGCCTATGAAATACATCCGATCTCACTTCTTCATACTTCATAATAAAGTTACTCAGTATCTGCCAGAAGTGCAAATATTTACTATATGTAGGGTAAACTGACCTGATTATTTTTTACGTGGGCTTTGCAACAGGCGTTGCTTACTGCATTGCCTTCTTCAGGAGCTCTCATTTGTCCACCTAAACAAACTGTAAACAGAAACAGAGGCTTGAAAAGTGTCCTTCACTTCAGAATAAACACAAATTCTATATCGCTATCATTTATGTTATTTTTTCCGCACACAAACCAATGCAAAATACGGCGTTTTCACGGGCGCTCTGTTTAATATTTGCACTGTTATGTGATGCTATTAAATGCATAGACGCTTATTTGAGAAAGAGCCGAGCTCTAAACTGAAGATCAAAGCGGTTTATTTGGTTAAGGACACCGTTGTTTGGGTGGCCACTTCGAACAAATAAACCAAGATTGTAAGGATCCTTATGAAATGTAATGAATGAAAACAGCATCACCATTCACTTACTCTAACATTGAAAATGCCGGTTTGGGCAGAGTAAAACCCGCTCCTTTACATTTGACAGCCAGTCAAGTGTATTCCCAACATATCCTAAATATTCTAAATATTTTCCAATATCCTACGAAGAAGAAAACCTCAGCGGCGTTCGGTACCTGCCCAAGACAAACACCGGGACGACAATTCCGGCGGCACTTGTGCATTCACGCTTTCTGCTTCCCCCTGTTTGTTAGATTATAATATATACAGCCTATATATTTCCAACCTAATGGTAACCCTGTATTTATCCTTGTTGCTACAAGCCGAAACCATTGCCAAAATTCTGGTAGCTGCCTAAAATCAAGCAGAGAGCAGGTTTTAGTATTATTTTCCCCTTCCCCCGTCGAAGGGGAAACGAGGGGCAGCGATCACAGAACTCTGCTTTTCTTCTGTCAGATGCTATGAAAAACAGCGGAGGCGAAAACAATGTTTCTACACATATGGATGTATAAATTGACCTCATACAAGTATTTAACTACCCCATTCTTGCAAAAGTATAATGCGTTCAAAACCGACTGTGAAAGAAACACATCTGGACGTGTTCCGCTTGCAAACCGACCGTCAACACAGAGCTGTCAAAAATAACCAGGAACGCTTTTAAGGAATTAAATGTTTTGGGTTTTTTTTCTATTAGTTTTCAGTCCCTCTCCTTTGGGGGCCTTAGGGCACCCCTTAGGCTGGTGCGCCAGTGATTTTGGTTTTATGGCTGAGGCAGTGATATTTCCCGATCCGACGTACAAGGACGCAGAACCGCAGGGTATGACACACACGGCCGGTACCCAGAGAAAACGCTGAATTTACCAGAATTCGAATCGCGTCTGAAGCAAATTCCCGCAGGAGAATTTGTGTGTGTGTGTGTTTTTCCCTGCTGTGAACAGAACACTCAGTTGAGGGGGAAAGCGGGATAACTCCCAAGCGAAGCAAAACCCCAGAGGGTCACAACGCGCTGCCCGGGAGAGCTTGGTCCCTTTCCTAGTTCACACCGTGTTACTGACCCGGCCAAAACCGGCTGCCTTGGATTTTTTCAACCTTTTATTTCTTATTAAAACGCCGAACTGTCCCTTTCACTCTACTGAACAGGAACACTTTCGGCAGGCAAGGGAACAAATCCTGCAAGAGCTAGTACTGGAAAAGTTCAGCGGGTCAAGGGACCTCTTGCAAACACGGTTTACAGCAGTTTGGGGGCTGTCACTTCCAGCATAAAAGAAAATGTTTTTCTATATAATGAACACGAGGCAGTAAACTAAGTCAACTGCCCTGACTTTGTTCGGCAGATTTGTGCAAACCGTTTCTACAGCTCATTGATCTGGGATCAAAGAAAGAAAGGTGTGTTTTGAATCGAAGCCGAGAAAGTAAAAGCTCCTTCTTTTGTACAGAAATTACGGCAGTTTGTGACCCTTTCAGTGCCTCTGGCGTCATAAGTAGATGATCTCACATATTTTCTCGATTTCTGTTTTGACTCTTTAGGGATTTTTGAACAGTAACATTAAAACACCCCTCACAGCACTGGCTCCCACTGTGGTTGCGCTCTCCACTTCCACCGCGCTTCCCTGAGGCGTTTACTGAAGAGCTTCGCCTGACCGCTCTTCGTCAGCGTTTACTGAAGAGCTCCCGAAACCTTCGTGGTCGCACGACTCCTGGGGTCATTCGTGAACTTTCCCAACCTAACAATGCCGCCGGGAGTTCATCGTCCTGATTTATTGACCTTTTAAACCCGGCGGGGCACGGCGCGGGGATCCTCCGGCCAGAGATGTGTTTCTATTTCAGGTCGGCTGCGGCCCGCGGTGTTGGAAGTGGTGCTCCCGGCGTTATCAGAGCCGACCACAAATGCCACATGAAAAGCAGCAAACATCCGGAGGGCTTCCTGCAAACCGAGCAGTTTCTCAAGACAAGAGCCAACCCCCCCCCCTTTTTTTTTATTTTTTTATTTTTTTAAACGTGTGTTTAAAGGCAACACGCTTTGCCTCTTTAAAGCAGCTCAAAACCACTAAATGAAACCAGCCCAGCTCGATAACGCTGCATAGGGCAAGAAATCCCCCGAATGAAGGCTTGGCGGGACTTTGAGTTAGGAAAGTGTGTGTACCACGGAGGTCCTGCTCAGGAATGACTCTACAGGGAAGTAATAGTCCCCAATCAAATAGTTACTGCTTCTCATGAGTTAGTTTTATCTGCAAATTGCATTCTACCAAACGGACCCCAAACCCCAAACCAGCAAAAACTTGCCTCTCACAACCAGAGCGAGAACGCTGTGGTGGAAGCCCGCACATCGCCAGGGCTGAGCGGCTGCTGGGTGAGACAATACCCTGGGCCAGCCGCCGATCCCGCACAACGCGCTACCTGCAGCTGTGCGCGGCTGCGCTACGCTGCGGAAGCTGCTGTGTCCCCGCGTGTTAGGGCTGAAGGGCGTTTCCCACTCCAAGGTAAGAGCGCTTTTGCCTCCAGGTGGACACGAGTGGGGTTCCCCCCACGCCGAACCACCCGCTCCGGGCAGCAGGTTGGAGGCGAGACGGCCCCTCCGCTGCAGCCGGCGGGCTTGGGGCCGGGGCAGGCAGGGCAGGACTTCCCTGAGGGGCTGACAGCTGTCCCGCTGCCCTCTCTGTGCCGCCTGGGCGAGCTCCAGAACCGATCGGACTGGAGGCACTGAGAGATGCCGTTCATTTATCCGCAGAGGGGCTCCGTCTCAAGCAGACACCCTGGGGTCGGTGCAGGGACGGCAGTGCTGTCCCTTTAGCCGGACACAGCTGAGCGCACGGGAGGATGCAGAGTCCTGGACCACCTTCCCATTCTCCTATCCTTTTTTCTCTGTGCTAGGAAATACTTTATACATATACAAATACAAAACCGACATCTTGACATCTGTCGTTCTTCCAAGTACACAGGGGCACGTACCATGTGTGACTGCACTGAAAGACACAAAATTTCCTTGTCTGAAGGAAATGGCTTTTCTGTGAAGCTACTGAGCTTTTGCACCTCTGCTGAACTCTGGCAGTGCCCAGTATGTGGAGCTGAGGTGCTGGGGAGGAGAGAACCTCCACCGTGCCTGCTCCTAGGAAGGAGTTAACTGTGCCGCCGGCGGGACTGCTTGGGCTTGGGTTTGGCTTTCATGCGGCTGCAACGCCTTCCCTACATCAGTCTGAAAACATAAATCATATGTATGGGAATCAACGGGAAATGGCATGTTTAACTCACACGAGTGCGAGGTACTTCTGTAATATCTATTCCAGTTAGACAATACGTGGACCCAAACAAATTCTGATAAAATCACCGGTAAACGCTTCTCGGTTTAAATTACATTGAAAGGAAGCCTAGAAATAGCATTTTCCTCAGACTGCTAAGAATGCAACCTAGATCTGAGTCTCATCACACGTTACACTCATAAATACTCCTTTAACATAAAGATTAATTATTGAGGCTAAGATCACAGACCTGTTGCGTTTTCCTCTGTAACATGAAATTCCAACAATTTGGTTACACAAGGATATTCTGATTTCGGTACCCCTCAGTTTAAGAATTAGTCACAAAGGACCACAAAGCAGTGCAATAGCCGGAGTGAAATAAACTCCCCAATACTGAATTTCCAAGAACAGAAATCCTGTTAGTTTTCATACTTAGGCACAAAGAAGTTTTGTTTGGTTTTTTTTTTTTTTTTTAAAAAAAAAAAGAGAGAAGAAAGAAAAACCTGCTTTATACAATGCTGGAGCCACTCCAAAAGATCAGGGATCTGGACTAAACAATTTGGCCTAGCCTCTCCTTATACTTATGCTGGTTTTATGTCAGCAGAGCTACTGCAGAGTTGTGCTAATGCAAGATTTATTCTGACATGCTAAATGCTAAAGTGACAGCTCAGCAAAGGACAAGTCACGTAACTGTACTATTAAAAAGCTGACCCTAGTTACACTGAAGTGAAAAAGATTTGTTCATTGGCATCACTCAGCTTCCAGAATATCCTTAACAAGGCCAGAAGAATGAATATCAAAAGATATTCTCTAGAAGGTAGGCTCTCCTACCATATATAACACTACTTCAGTCTTGTAATGTATATCTGTATGTTGCTCTTTTTAGTAGGCAGCAATACTTCTCAGCAGTTTCAAAGTGCAAAGTTCTTGGTCTTTAGCCAGAATTAAGCTGTTATGTTAGACAAATGAGAAAGTAGCTCAGCCTGGAGCTGGGCAGTGACTGCTCCAGCATGCCAATTCGTTAGGGTCACGGAAGAGATGAGCTAGGATTTTAGCATGTGGAAATAATCCTACACTATCAGTTTAACAGAAGTTAGTGATACTAAAAAAACTATTAAATGACTAAATCCATACGTCAGTGGCTTGCCATCTGCTGTTCTGATGAAGCAGCAGTGTTGAACAAGTAAGATCAAAGAGTAATTAAGAATGGATTTAAATCCTCAACACCACTAAACCTGAATAAATAAAACCTTCCAAGATGGACAATATGATACATTTATTTTTAAATATATTGCCAACCCCTGAAATAAGACAGTGGTAATGTTGTTTGAAAATACTTGTTCAGTTACACCACCTAAAAGGGCATTTGCTATAACCAAAAGATATGAACACAAAGTTTGATGCTGGTTTTGCAAATCAAAACATCAAATTGATTAAGGCTGTCATTTGAAAATTTGCCCGGTGGAAATGCTCTGGATTTTCACTGTACCTTTGCAATTGCATTCCATGATTAAGTGCACTACAACTTTTGATATCGGACAATTACCTAGATAAATAGACTACCAAAAGGAAAAACCAGGCAGTTGGGAACTTTGAGAAATGAACTTGGCTTCATTTCCTGATGGCTGCAGCTGTGTGGTTTTCTCATATTTATTTTCCTTGAGTACTCTTAATGCATAAAGTGATTTTTAATTTTTATATTAATTATTTTAATATTAATTTAGGATTTTAATATAAATTAATATTCCAGTGATGTTCCATTGAAACATCATATAAAGTTGCAGACTGTAAGAAAACACCTGCACATCTTCCAAATCCAAAGCAGCAAATCTGATCCTGTTTCTAACCCATTTTACCAAACTTGCACCATTTTCAGTGGCAGACATCTGCTTGCTTTACAGGGCACAATGAAGTCTACAGTTTCTCTGCCTAGAATGCATTAATATTGAAGATTCTGAACACCTTTGACTACCACTGAGCCATGAGAGAGAAAGGAAGAGCCCCTCATGGGATCATGTCTGACACAGCTGGCAACTAAATGTGAAAGACAACTAAGCTGCAGAAAGCTCCAAGCTAGGTTGAAGAATGCAGGTTGGTTTGGGTGGTTTTTTTTTGGTTTTGTTTTTTTTTTTGATCCAGTCGTTATTACTTGGGCTTGATATACGTTTAGAATTATCTAGCTGTGGTTCAGCAGTCACACTTATTTTACTTTCGTGGCTTATTTCTGTTTGAATCAAACCTAAGACTGAAAGTCCCCCTTCCTCCTGCTTTGTTCCCTTAACATCACCTTTTTATCTTCACAACAGCCTTTGAAGGGTATTTACTGAAAGGATGAGAGAGCAGTTATCACACAGAACTGAAAACTTAAAAAAAACCAAACCAACAGACCCAGGAATTTCAATAAACTTACTCCGTAGTTAGATCAAGAACTGGAGATCCTCATTCCTCCTGCAAACAACCTGTAAGATCTAAGACGATTTCTACCCAGCTGTCTCCAGTTTACCAGTCCCATTCAGATAGGATGCCTGTTTAATGGGGTCTAGATTTAAATGTGAGAACATTCAATTTAGAAACCTTGCTTCAATGTCAAACTTAATGACCTTCTCAGTCAAAAGTTTAGGAGACTGTTTATGTAGTTCCCAGATGTACCATGTTGACAGCCCTCTACCATTAAGGTCTGGAGGTACCTGAATTAATGAAGCAAAATGGATGACTACAGAGCTTTAATTTCTGGTTTTACATGTTTATAAATATAAGTGCTACAAAATCAAAGCATATTCGTGGGTTGTTTTTTTATCAGACCTGCATCCTGCAAAAAATACAGGTAGTATGTTGCTCAGCACAAGATAAACCGAAAAATGCCTAAGAAATATTAACCATTTACACTGGTGATTTGCTAAGGCCAGAGCTGGAACTGAAGCACACCAAAATTACCCTACACAACTGCAGCCAGTCTCCTGCTTTCCCTCCTATTTAGTGAAAAATGGCAAGATTTACTATTGCAAGCCCTATGCCACTTCAGGGAACAAAGACAATGAATGAGTACTGTCGGTTGCTAGCAATACTTTAGGTGCCAGTGTATGTGGGTGCTCAAGTACTGCGGTAGTCCATTTAAAATGAAGCCAAGACAAACTACCTAGGTAGTTCAGTTGACAACCACTCAACCACTCACCAGAGGGAGCCCATTTTCATCAAAAGCCAACATTTGTAGTAAGGCCAACCTGCTACCTGCTGGGGCATCAGGACTACCCCTCTAATAACGTTGCAGCTGCTGGAGCAGTAGCTGCCAGCTAAGGGAGTCATGGAGACATACCATGAACAGGAAAGCACAGAGCTCTAAAGGATTTTGTAGCTGCTTGATTAATACTTTCTGCAGTATGGAAGGTAATTTAATGAAAAAGATGCTGCCTTTCAAACGGAACATTTCAGAGGGAAGCCAGTCATGTATCTGCAGCATGTCACTGACAGTTGTAGACATTTTATGTTGTCCTAAGTAGCCTTCTCAACTCTGTTATATGTGATATATTGCTGTTGAATACTTCAAGGTAGGTTCTTGCAAGAGAAGTATTACTTTTTCAATAGAAAAATAAACATTTTTCAAAGAAAGACACTTCTCACTTTCTCTTTCCCCAAGAGGAAGAGCCAGCCTTCTAATGCATTAGCAATTCTCACATATCCTTTAAAGACCAGCTGAAGAAACTAGAATAATTTAACTCACATTGCAACTAAGCACAGAAAAAAAGCCTGATCTCACAGCCAACACTAGAACATGTCCTGTTCAGGAAGGACCTGCAGCTCCTTCCAGGGCCAGACTGTTTGTGCACACTCACTGTTTGGAACAAGGCATAATATAGAGGCTTCTTGGCAGCTTCCAGAACCTGACAGAGCTGCAAAAGTTGGTTTTTTTTTTTTTTTTTTTGTTTTAATCTTAGGCCAGCTAAACAAAAGATCCGTTTAGCAGTAAAACTATGCTGCTGCCTATCTAAACAGGAAAACCTTGCTAGTGAAGATGAAATTACATCAGCAAGCATGTGTTTCTGGCACTATAAGATTACCTACTCTTGCATACCTCCTGATATCTGTCCTTTTTTTGCCTTCAATGTCCTGAAATATTATGAAGTTGCTACTTTTGCTTTTAGTGTCTTCCTTGTTCTTTACATGTCTGTTTCTTAATTCCCAATTAATAGATTTCCTCTTCAATTTTCCTTTTTGCAGATAATCCTAGCCAGCAGTCAGTAGATGCCACAGCACAGACCTGACCTCCTGATAGGTAAACATCGAGCCCCACTGACTATCTGCTTTCTATAAAAAGTAAATCTACCTGTTTAATCACTTTTTGTTGGGGGTGTGTAGGTTTTTGAATCTCCCTTTTCCAACAGTGCAGCCACACATTCTTTGGCCACTTCACAGACTACTCAATAGCAAATCCAAGCAACAAAGTTCTGATCTGGGTAAGTGATAGTTGTACATAAATTGTTAATTAATAGTTGTATGAATTATTTTGAACCAACTCTCAGGATTTTCTTTGCATCCCGTAGCTTCGGAAACATTTTGAAGTATAGTCAGCTCATTTGTACTTAAATATGTGGTTAAATAACTAAAGCTGGATATATCACCTCTCTTTGCAAGGCTTCCATACTAATGGAGGCTCACTGGCCCATCAACTTTCTCTAACTAGATACTAAATCTTAACACAGCACTGGCTAGACACTAGCCTATCAGAAACTCACTTTACAGGAGCAGGTTCAGAGATTAATATGAAGTTGGAACAAGTAGATAAGATAAAGTTACTCAGTTACTAAATTTTATACAGACATAAGTATGGAATCTGCGGAATCCCTTTGACAGATGCATACAGGGTTTATCTTTACATCTCAAGAAATCCCTCGCTGCTAAGCACACAAAATGGTAAAATATTCAATACATTTTTTTTCCCACTAAACAGTTAAGTTACAGAACATTTGATAGGATGCTTATTGGTTTTATGTATGTGTTTATAAACCACATCCTCTTATGTCACTGGCACAGCCTGAAATTTCAAGTTTCGTGTTTTGAAGTTTCCTTAATTAAAAGCAATTACTGCTGCTCGTAGTTACTTGCAAGCAGTTGGCAAACGTACATTGTCATTTTCTTATTCCAAGAAAAAGACAATTCGAAGTTATTTTATTCTTTGCCAGATTTTCAATAAAATAGAAATTTGAGGAATCTGTATTTGAAAACTAGTAGATAGCTGTATGTGCTCTGAGGCTGTCCCAGACAGAAGAAGAAGATTACTTGCACAAACCTTGCAGAAACGCTTTCACAGTTTATTACTTGTACTTGCACACTGGATTAAAACCATAGTGATGGGAAGAGGTATATGATACATTTCTTATTGTAGTACTACCATCAAAACCTAATCATGTTGCAGCAGTGACTGATTAGATAGCAAGAATGGCACTGCTTGAAAAAAAACTCAACATGCAATACTGATGTATATAGTTGCAAAGATGTATACTTATTTAGGATTAAAAACTCCATTATTATAAAGCTTAGGGACACAGACAGCTGACTATTGACTACTCTTACAAAGTACAGATTATTTTTAACACATTATTATTACCCACATAAAAAGAGTTTATAGGTTCACATATATTTAATGTGATCTCACCCACAGAATAGCCATACATTAAGGTCATAATTTATACAGGTGTAGGTCAAAATCTATCCCACAATACTGAAAGAAGAGGTGAGTAGATTTATCTGTATCACAGAATTTGATAGCATTATAAATATATTACAAATATATTTATATTATATAAATATATAAATATATTACAAATTATAAGTAAATTACTTTTTCAGCTCTGTAATTTTTGTTGATATATCTTAGTAAAGAAGTTAGTTAAATATATTTTTACAGAAAAGGTTTAAACGATAATGTGATTTAAATACATTATATGGCACCAGGAGTAAATTGGATATATCTCTGGGAAGATCACAAAGTGTTCAAGGTTATTTTTTAAATTTCTAGCCGGAATCAATAAATCTATCCTGGTTACTTTACAAGCATGATGCATTCACTAGGGAAAGTTTTCTTTCAAGAACCAATTATTACCTTCTCCACTGTTAAAAATAATTAAAAAATGCCTAACCAGCTGGAATCTCAGCACGCGGTTTGGAGGCAAGGTTAATAGTGTTCACACATTTTTCCAGAAACTAAAAAAAAAAAAAATTCAGAGTCAATTGTATAAATTCCACAGCAACATATTATTAAACACTCTAACTTCTTAATCTGAAGTGATTAACCACTTCTTTGGGTAAATCTAAGAGGAAGTGCTCTGACCAGATCTCAGTTCCATGGAATAATTGCATGTCTCAATGGAATTGTGGTCCAGGAAGAAAGAAGCTGAGAACTACCATTTCAGAAGATTCTGAAGGGTCCACATCTGAGAACACCAAGATCACAAAAGTAGCTGCAGCTTCACTGCTTTCTCACAAGCTGAACTGGACAGTATTTTGAACATCCACTTCAGCAAGAACTAAAGCAAGATCCTAAGGGGATATAGCACTCCTTGAGAGTTCCTATATGACTGCAACACTTGATGATTATTAGTTGTGTTTTTCAGGCCTCTACCTACTGTTCTTACTTAATAATTGAGGACACTTCCAACCCCCTTTTTTTCATACCATTGCACCACAAAGGATATTTGTATGCTATTTTTCATCCAACAATTTCTTCACAGACATATGTTAATATTGTTAACACTGTTCTGGACCTTTGGGAACTCAGGACAAACAGATGCCCTAACTGACCAGTCCAAAGTTGCAGCAGAGCAGAAATACGCTGTGGATCATGTGCCTCTCCCTTTCCCCTCTCCAGTTTTAAGTGCCTTTCCATGTTGAACCTAAAGATCCTGGTCTCAGACTCCCTTTCTGCCATGTTTCTACTAAAACTCTGGGAGAATCAGGGCATCATTAATTAGGGTTCTTTAGCAGATTTGCCTTTGGTAGGGCAACTAGTCAGGGATTAACAGGCAAATTACAGCCAGTTGGGAAAAGAGTGATCAATGGTCCAAAAGAAAATTAGCAGTTAGGAACTCAAACCAAATTGAAACCTTCACTTCTACTGCGCAGTCTGTGAGCTATTCTGGAACTGCAGCTTAATTCTTTTTTAACCTTGATTACTTTTTTTCCACATTGATCCTAGAAAGCTGTAAAGTGGCAGATCATATAGATAGGACAAAAATGGCAATATCTGTATATAAATAAGCATTTACTCTTTAGTACATAATTACTACATAATCAATACTACTGTACTTGATTGTTTTCATTATTTTCATGACAACAAGTGCAATGCCAAGCTGAAGCTTGATTTTAAATGAGTGCCAACAGCTCTGACTACAAGAAAAGCAAACTAGAAAATAATGAATTTTCAACTGATTCTGCTAATGGATAAGTGAATAAATCAGATGTAATTATTTCCTTTATAAATTCTGTTTGATGCCAAAGCATATAAGATACAAAACTCTTAGGAAAAAAAACATTTAAGATATCAAAAAATTAATTTACACATAGAAACACTAAAACTTGGATAATAGAAACAATCTTGACCATTTGGTAAGAAAATATTTTTACCTGTTTATAAAAATAAAACAATTGATATTGCTGACTTGGTATAGGTGAAATTTGAATTTGGATTATTTCTTTCGACCCTTTGCCATTTTGTTTACACAGTGTTTCCATGCAGACTGATTTCAGGCTCTTAGGGATTTGAGATAGTTAATTAAAGATAAGTAGGAAGACTCCCCTGGGGAAAAAAATACACCTTTTTTTATTTTGCATTTTTAAACTCTGGGTTGTGCCACTTCTGAATTATTAAACTAGCTATAACCCCCTCAAGCAACATCTCCTTTTTCATGATAAGGATTCCTTTGTATACAATTTACATAGAAGTTTTGATATAATTCAGGGTAAAGTCCTCTATAAATATGTATAGTCATTAGAGACACACATACTGCTTGCATTAAGTTTCACAGATATATTAGTAGAAATTACCCAGCTAAAAAAACCCCAACACAGTAATGTTTTCATAAGTATTTACTTTGTAAAATGAAAATCAGAGATTGTTTATCAATGGTTCACTATCAGAACGGAAGGACAAATATCCTGGTGCTTTATAGAATCATAGACTTGTAGAATAGGTAGGGTTGGAAAGGATCTTAAGATCACCTAGTTCCAACCCCCCTGCCATGGTCAGGGATGTCTCACCCAAGACCATGACACCTAAGGCTCTGTTCACATGGATCAACCAGCAGGAAAAATAAGGTTTTTACCAAGCTGACTGATGGAAGATTCCAGCAAATGAGGAAGGCATAAAGAAATTTCAAGAACGAGACTGTAATTAAAATTATCTTGAAAACTACACAAATGGCTTAAACAGAATAGGATAAATTTCAACATGGACAAATGCAAGGTATTTTAGTGAGATAGGAATAATCTATGTTAAAGGTGAGGAAATTAAAAGCTAGCAGCAAGCACAAAAAATTTCAGGGGTAGGTGGCAGTTTAAACACCAGTCAACAATGTCACTCTGCTGGGAGGAAAAGAAGAGAAACTCCTCCTCACAATAGGCTATGTAGATATGCATGTTCTTTTCAGCCTGTGAAGTAGCCTTTCTTTTCTTCTCAGAGGGAGCAAAATGACATTCTTCACGTTCCTAGATGCCTGGTGCATTTTAGATTTATATTTGTAGAGGATAGGACAGAAAATCATAACGTATTTAAACTTCATTAAGGAAAATTTAGCTTTAATGGTAAGAAAAAAAAGTCTAAAGAAGGTGAAGATAGCAAAGTGTTAGAATACATTGCCTATGGGGAATACAAAACATTTTAGTTTTTTATAGAGACCAAATCAGTTTTAAAAACAGGCTGGCAAACACCTGTTACAAATGGCAAACCTGCAATTGATCAGGTCACAGAACCATGACATGTTTGAGGCTGGATGTGACCTCTAGAAGGCATCTGATCCAAACCTCGTGCTCAAGCAGGGACACCTAGAGACAGTTGCCCAGGACTATGTTCAAATGGCTCTTGAATATCTCCATGGATGGAGACTCCACAACCTCTCTGGTCAACCTGTGAGAGGGCAGAATAGCCAGCCCTTGAAGTTCTTTCTATCCTTAGTTTTCTAAATGTTAATGAAAAAATAAGATAATTTTTAGATTTGACTTTAAAACTAAATGTTATTTTTATTTCAGTCCATATGTAAATCCTTGGTTTAACATTTCATTTTCATAGTATGGCATTGTTAATTTAGAAATTGGTATTCAGAAACAGGAGAGAAGACAAATCATGTCCCGTGTTACACTGAGCCCTCAACAATACTTAATAATCCCTTTCTGTAGATCCTTAAAACAAAATAGTGAATTCACCAAGCTAAC